TCAAAGAAGGAGTTCTTGCCTGAGTTGTAAGGTATGAAGTTAAGACTTAAAGCTCGACCACGACAAAACAAAGAGGAAGGACGAAGGTCGTCCCCTATGCTTTTGTCATAGGCTCTATACGGTATGCCATGCTGAGTACCGCACCTGATGTGTGCCTTGCCACATATTTGGCAAGAGGGTACAAAGGTGATCTAGGAGTAGATCACCAGATAGCGGTCTAAATTATCCTTAGAGGAATAAGGATATGTTTCTCGGTTATGGAGGTGATAAAGAGTTCGACGTAAAGAGTTACGTCAATGCAAGCTTAACACCTATCCGGATAGCTCTGAGTAGAGATACCGGATAAGTATAATGGAGCAACAATTTAGAATAGCTCCAAGTAGAACAATTATTTGAAATGGCTCCAAATGTAGCGTAGTAGTTGCATCTACAAGATGACATAGAAATTTGCGAAGTACATACGGATCTGAATGTTGCAGACCCGTTGACTGAAACCTGTCTCACAAGCATAACATGATCAAACCCAGAACTCTTTGGGTGTTAGTCACATGGGGATGTGACCTTGAGTGTTAATCACATATCGATGTGAACTGGATTATTGACTCTAGTGCAAGTGGGAGACTGTTAGAAATATGCCCTAGAGGCAATAATAAATTGGTTATTATTATATTTCCTTGTTCATGATAATCGTTTATTATCCATGCTAGAATTGTATTGATAGGAAACTCAGATACATGTGTGGATACATAGACAACACCATGTCCCTAGTAAGCCTCTAGTTGACTAGCTCATTGATTAATAGATGGTTATGGTTTCCTGACCATGGACATTGGATGTCGTTGATAACGGGATCACATCATTAGGAGAATGATGTGATGGACAAGACCCAATCCTAAGCCTAGCACAAGATCATGTAGTTCATATGCTAAAGCTTTTCTAATGTCAAGTATCATTTCCTTAGACCATGAGATTGTGCAACTCCCGGATACCGTAGGAGCGCTTTGGGTGTGCCAAACGTCACAACATAACTGGGTGGCTATAAAGGTACACTACAGGTATCTCCGAAAGTGTCTGTTGGGTTGGCACGAATTGAGACTGGGATTTGTCACTCCATGTAAACGGAGAGGTATCTCTGGGCCCACTCAGTAGGACATCATCATAATGTGCACAATGTGATCAAGGAGTTGATCACAGGATGATGTGTTACGGAATGAGTAAAGAGACTTGCCGGTAACGAGATTGAACAAGGTATCGGGATACCGACGATCGAATCTCGGGCAAGTATCGTACCGATAGACAAAGGGAATTGCATACGGGATTGATTAAGTCCTTGCCATCGTGGTTCATCCGATGAGATCATCGTGGAGCGTGTGGGAGCCAACATGGGTATCCAGATCCCGCTGTTGGTTATTGATCGGAGAGTTGTCTCGGCCATGTCTGCATGACTTCCGAACCCGTAGGGTCTACACACTTAAGGTTCAATGACGCTAGGGTTATAGGGAAAGTATGTACACGGTTACCGAATGTTGTTCGGAGTCCCGGATGAGATCCCGGACGTCACGAAGAGTTCTGAAATGGTCCAGATGTAAAGATTGATATATAGGAAGTATGTTTTTGGCCACCAGAAGTGTTCCGGGCATCACCGGTAGTGTACCGGGACCACCGGAGGGGTCCGGGGGTCCACCAGGTTGGGACACCAGCCCCGGAGGCCTACATGGGCCAATAGTGGGAAGGGACCAGCCCCTAGGTGGGCTGGGGCGCCTCCCACCAAGGCCCAAGGCGCAAGGGAGAGTGGAAGGGGGCAAACCCTAGGCTCAGATGGGCCTAAGGCCCACCTAGTGGTGCGCCCCCCTCTCTCCCCCCTTGGCCGCCCCCCCTAGATGGGATCTAGGGCTGGCCGCCACCCCTAGGGGTGGAAACCTAGGTGGGGGCGCAGCCCCTCCCCTCCCCCTATATATACTTGAGGTTTTGGGCTGCCAGAGACACGATTCAATCTCCCTGTTGGCGCAGCCCTACCCCTCTCCCTCCTCATCTCTCGTAGTGCTTGGCGAAGCCCTGCTGGAGTCCCGTGCTCCTCCACCACCACCACGCCGTCGTGCTGCTGCTGGATGGAGTCTTCCCAACCTCTCCTTCTCCCCTTGCTGGATCAAGGCGTAGGAGCCGTCACCGGGCTGTACGTGTGTTGAACACGGAGGTGCCGTCCGTTCGGCACTAGGATCATCGGTGATTTGGATCACGACGAGTACGACTCCATAAACCCCGTTCACTTGAACGCTTCCGCTTAGCGATCTACAAGGGTATGTAGATGCACTCTCCTTCCCTCGTTGCTAGATTACTCCATAGATTGATCTTGGTGATGCGTAGAAAATTTTGAATTTCTGCTACGTTCCCCAACAGTAGACTCGCTCATACAGACGTACTCGTCAATGAGATCATCGGGCACTCCGTATGCAAGCATTCGGATGGCTGTAGTGCATTTATGATAAGAGGAGAAGCCAATCTTTTCAAGGCATCCTCTTTGTATTCGAAATATTATCGTAGCCGACCACCCCCTCTGTAATACGGTTGAAAAGATGTCTACTCCTACGGAAACGGCGGCGAAATTTCTGATGTTTGAACAACGGGTTCGTTGTGTCAAAGTAGTCCTTCCAAAGAAGGAAATGCCTGCTCTCTCGGTTGGGATTCAACGCCGGAAGGTGCCCTGGAATGGAGCGACGAAACACCGGCCGCTGGCTATTGAGGTGGTGATGGACCAACACGACAGCCAAGATCTCCTCCTCATCATCGGACGAGGAATCATCGAAGTCGCAAAGAAAATTGTGGAAAAAGAACTCGTCGGCGGAGTCCATTTTGTACCTTGGCAAACTGTCGGACAACTTGCGGGCGTCGATGAAGGAGTCGGCCGGTGAAGGGAGTCGCGCCGCCCTCGGACCAGCAACCTGCCCTGGCGGAGTCAAATGAGCGTGCCGGTGTCAGGACGAAGGAGCTGGCCGGGTCGGCGAGGCGGCTTCTTGGTCGCGGCTGTGTCGGGGAGTTGGGGTGGGAAGCTTTCGGATCCACGGCGGCAAGACGACGGTGGCGACGACGTGGGAGGTGGCGGCGTCGTAGGGGTGGATGTTGTGGCACCGGCAACCGGCATAGGCATCGGAAAAATGGGCGGCGGCGTCGGTGACGAAGGAGGCGGGCGAGGGTTTGCTGTTGGAATGGGAGAGGATGGCCAATGTGTCACCGACCAGCGGGCCAGGGGGAGGAGTAGGCGGGCGGCGGCGTCGGTGACGAAGGAGGCGGGCGAGAGTTTGCTGTTGGAATGGGAGAGGATGGCCAATGTGTCATCGACCAGCGGGCAAGGGGGAGGAGTAGGCGGGCGGGCGCGCGCGTCCTTCAGTTGTCCGCGCCGACACAAATCCGGCTCAAAAATGGATCAAGAATGAATCAACAGACGGACGAAAAGCGGACGCGTGTCTGTTTGGATCGACGCGTTGGGTCTATTTTTTTGTCCGCGCCGACTCCAACGGACACGCGTGTCGAATCGGGGCGTTGAAGTTGCTCTAACCATGCACATAATCACATTTCTAATGCTTCACCGAGCGAAAATGCGCGGCATCGAGGAAGGAATCATGGGCGCTCGAGCAAAACCCGTGGCGGGGTGCGTGACAGGCCAGGCGAGCCTGCGCGAACAAGTAGGCCGCGACAAGAGCTTCTGCCGGAACCGCTCCTAGGGCCGGGGGGTAGCACGCGTCACGCCATCGGGCGTTGGCTTTATCCGTCATCGGGACCATGGGACCTGACTGACTGCCTCAGAACCTTCTTTGTTTGTTCACCAAATCTGTCTGTTTATTACTCTTTGACATTGGGTCCCGAACGTTGGAGCACAACAGACTGGCAGTCGCAGCGTTTAATTCCATTTCTTTACGGGTTCTATCCTGAGAGGTTCTGACATTTGTGTCGCGGTGTAGCAGTGAGATCAGTGGGAGGCAGCGTGACATCTGATGATGAGCGAAGCTGGCAGCGCGGGAGTTACGGACGGTAAAACCCGTGACCGTCTGTAGTACCGTCAAAAACTTGCAGTAGATAGAACATCTGATTAGAAACCTCTGTTATCATTTGGACGACTTGATGGTCTAGAAGATTTTTGTCTGCGCAAACAGAAGGCCGGATTTGGGGTTAAGCTACAAGAGTAGGCGGGTACAGGTTCGGTGGTGATGATGATTCAGAGCCCCATCCAGAATAAATGAGACCTCAGGCTAACTAACTCGACGTGGGTCTCTGCTGTCACGAGTGGGGCGGAAAGAAGAGAGAAATCGATCGTAAAAGGAGTACTCATCATCACAATTAAAACTTTCGCGCTGGATATTAATCGTTCTCCTCGGAGCAAGAGAAGAGAAACACTCGAAGGTAGGTCAGGGCGACGCACTCGCTCCTTTTCTGCACGAACGAAAAGTCTCAGAAAATACACCTTTGTAGCTGGAGCAGTCGGCACATCTACTCCGTGCACGCAGCAACAGCAAAAGCGTGAGGAGGAGCGCGCGCGGCAGGACCAGCAGCGGAGAGCGTGTCACGCCGATGCGGCCTCTTTATTGTTCGCACGCCTTCGCTCCACCGTTGGCGCTCCTCCCGCCCGCCCCGATCGCTCAAAAGTAAACCCCTCCTCCCCTCTTCCTCCTGCCCAGAACCCAACGGTCACTCACTCTTCCCCATCGACCAGCCAGCCACCCACACTTTTTCCAAGCCTCCGTCTGCCACTTCGTCCCAGTTCCAACTCCCAACCGCGCCGCACCCGCAACCGAGACCACCAAGACGCCAAAAAGACACGCACAGAGACGCTCGATCACCGCGCGCGCGCCATTTCTTTGCTCCCCCGCGCTCCCGTCTTGATCGCCGTGTGCGGAGCTTAACCCGGCCGCCGGCCGAGGGAGGCAGCGGCGACGACGACACCCGTCACAAGTACGGGCCCGCGAGTCAGATCTGCCACGCACGCGCGGCTGCTGGGGCTGGGTCCGATGGGGAGCGGGGAGGAGGAGAGGGGCGGCGTGAGCGAGGCCGCCTTCACGGACTCGGCCGACGGGAGCAGCTCCAGCTCCGACGCCGCCTCCACCGACGACTGGCCCGCCCTCGCGCTCGCAGCGCCCAAGAAAGCGCCGCCTTGCAGCGGCGCCCCCGACGCCGAGATGGCCGGCAAGCTGAAGCGCCGAGGTGGCCCAGGTACGCGCGCTTCTCACCTGTCTGTCATCAGAGGCGAAGTAAGTATATGGAACAACAATGTAGGTACTGGTGCTAATGTTAATGTGTGCAGAGACGGAGATGATGAAGGAGCGGTTCGCGAAGCTGCTCCTCGGCGAGGACATGTCCGGGAGCGGCAAGGGCGTCTGCACGGCGCTCGCCATCGCCAACGCCATCACCAACCTCTGCGGTCAGTATGCCATCCTTGCTTCATTTCTTCGTGATTTCTTTCTTTCTTTCCACAGTAGGAGAGAGTTGTCAGCGAGTGGTTTGCGCAGCCACCATCTTCGGGCAGCTGTGGAGGCTGGAGCCGCTGCCGCCGGAGAAGGCGGCCATGTGGCGGCGAGAGATGGACTGGCTGCTCTGCATCAGCGACCACATCGTCGAGCTCGTCCCCACCTGGCAGTCCTTCCCCGACGGAACCAGGCTCGAGGTACCACCAACCGGCACCTAAACATTTCAACCAGCGCCTGCGATTTTCTTTTCAGCGTACGGGCGCAGGCTAGGCGGACCGAGCACGAGCCGTAGGCCAGCAGGAATCACGAGCACGGTGGATCAAATGTCTTCGCCTGTCAGTACTCCCGGGTGAATGTACATTTGATTATTGAGCACCGCCAGAGCACGGGAACGGTCTATGATGTCGACTTTAGTAGCACATGGACCGCTAGAAAATCGCTATTAAGCACGCATTTAGCAGCCATGGCACCCACGTAAACGGAGCGAAATGTTAGGTGCGCTGATGATTTTTCTGATGGAAACTTTGCGGTTGTGGTGCCATGCTGCTGTGCTCGCGAAATTTGTTGGAGATGAGAGCAGCTGCCCGTGCTGTCTTGATTATCTGACAGCAAATGGTAGCAGTTTAGTTAAAAGCGCCCGATAGGAGATGCCATGCTGGTGATACGAGGTATTTGCCGGAGTACAATGGTACACAACACAGACAGAGGACTCCACAACGGTAACGAAACAAAAAAAGGGAAATTTAAGACAGAACATATTGTGAATGATACTCTACTGGCTAATGAAATCAAACCAAATCTACAGTTGCGTCCTTCTCTCCTACTCCCTCCGTTTCAAATTACTCGTCGCAGAAATGGATGAGAACTAAAATACATCTAGATACATCCATACCTGCGAAAAGTAATTCGAAACGGAGGGAGTAGTCAGTACGGAGTCCACTGAGACCAAACAGTTGCGTACCATGCGATCGCCCTTTGACAGAGTGGATCGGCGTGCTCCTAAGGCATAAGGAATAGTGACGGGTGACCTACTGGCTTACTGCATATGCATTACAGATCAAACATGAATTGCGATTTATTGATTCTTAGCGATGAAATGACTGACAAGGCGCAAATGTGGCGACTCGTTGATGAAGTTCAGCCTTCGCCTCTAAGCAACTGACATTTTTTTTTTTTGAAACGAGGCAAAAGATTTGCCATTTACATTGAAAAGCAAATGACTTGTAGGTTTTCTGGATCCTTCCTTTCAGATCATGACAAGCAGGCCACGGTCAGATCTGTACATCAATCTGCCAGCGCTTCGGAAGCTAGACCATATGCTCCTTGTAAGTTTTTCGCAGATGTAGTAAATTCACTGCACAGCCAATCTGAAAAATTCAGCAGCTTCTGATAACATGGAAATTTGACAGGAAATCCTGGACAGCTTCAGGGACACAGAGTTTTGGTATGTCGACCAAGGGATATGCGCGGCGGACTGCGATGGCTCCGCCTCGTTCCGGGCGGCCTTCCACCGCCGCGACGACAAATGGTGGCTGCCGGTGCCCCGGGTGCCACCCGGGGGCCTCCGCGACAAGACGAGGAAGCAGTTGCAGCACAAGCGCGACTGCGCGAACCAGATCCTCAAGGCTGCCATGGCCATCAACAGCAACGCCTTGGCAGAGATGGATGTCCCCGAATCATACCTCGACTCTCTGCCAAAGGTATCACCACCATGATCTAGCCTCAGCGTGCAATATTCAGTAATGTCAGTAGTAATCTCTCTTGCTCACAACTTGGTGGTGCAATTTTGTGTGGTAGAACGGGAGGGCGACCTTGGGCGACGTGATATACCGCTACATAACGTCGGATCACTTCTCCCCCGAGTGCCTTCTCGACAGCCTAGACCTGTCGACGGAGTACCAGGCCCTGGAGATTGCCAGCCGTGTCGAGGCGTCGGTCCACGTGTGGCGCCGCAGGGTGCCCGCGAAACCGGCGAACGGCTTAGGCCGCACCGCCAGCGCCAGCGCAAGGTCATGGAGCATGGTGAGGGACATGTTAATGGATTCGGAGAAGAGGGAGCTGCTCGCGGAGCGGGCTGAGGGCCTCTTGATATGCCTGAAGCAGAGGTTCCCTGCCCTGACGCAGACAAGCCTCGACATGAGCAAAATTCAGTACAACAAGGTCGGCTTGTTGTGCAAGTCTGTGTCCCTTTGTATGTCTTTCCACCCATTTGCCTGTCAAACAACTGAATTCATTCACCCTACTGCGTGGTGAACAATTTTCAGGATGTGGGCAAGTCGATCCTAGAGAGCTACTCGAGGGTTCTGGAGAGCCTGGCGTCGAACATCGTGGCGCGCATCGACGACCTTCTCAACATCGACGAGCTGAACAGGCACGTGGAGCAGCTGTCGTCGGGTGAAGCTGACCTGAAGATGGCCTGCGGCAGGGCCGTGGTGCCACCCTACCAGCAGGTGCCTGCCCCGGGCACGCCGTTTGTGACGTCCTACGCCACGCCTAGCTTCTCCCCGGGGCGGCTGTCGGGCCCGAGGACCTCGGTCGGTGCCGGCAGACGGTCTCAGGGCAACAGGGCCGCCGCCGCCGCCGCGAAGAAGGCCTTGACGGACCATCTCGGCCCGTCGGAGGTCAGGGGGATGATCATCGTGAACCGGAGCACGATGGTCGATGTCTCGACGACCACGGATCTGTGAGGCTGGGCCGGTGGACGGCTCGTAGAATTGCCGAGGACCAGCCTGCCGGTCTCTCTGTGCATAAGTGTGTCCTTCATTTGTGCTTACGTTCTTACTGTATTTTTAACTCTTAGTGCTTAGCTATGGAGTACCGTTGCTTCTTCTTTTTGCGAGAAGAAGCTGCTATGTATTGTTCCGTGCCAAAAAAGAAGAATGAAAAAGAGAGACGAAGTGTCCTGCTCTTTGCAGACCTCGTGATCAGATTCAGATAATATCATGATTTGAGACTTCAGTTTGCCTGCTAAATCTTCAGATAATTACCTGCATTAGTTCGATCGGTACGGACAGACTCCAGTTAAAAGTGAAAACCTGCAGCTTCTACTGCCGTTTTCAGGTACCTGAAGGTGAAGAACCGGAAAGGCAGTGTGGCTTGGTTCTCGCGTTTTCAAGAACTCCGGCCAGTGATCGCACCGCCGACGTACCCGCAATGATGGCGAGCCGAATCTTTTCCATCGCAAGGCCATACGTGGCTGGTCTCCAGAGACCGCAGAGAAATTTCCATGGCCGTTCATCCTGCCACCAGTGTAGTGGAGTGCAGTAGGTAGTGCTCGAAATGGCATCGCGGAGAGAGCTCAGTGCATGCGCGGGGCCAAAAGAGAAGAGATAAACGGTAGTGGAGTGCGTCCTCCACTTCGGGCCTTTCACACCATGGCCGTGGCGAAATCTTCAAGCAGAGCATCGATGGCGTCCCTCGACCCTCCGCACCGGAGCGCTGTATATATAGCCCGGACGGGACGTCGAGACAGACATCATCGGAGTGCGGCACGGGTGCATACAGAGAGGCTAGAGAAGAAGAGAGGAGTGAGGTGCAGCCAAGAGAAAAAGAGATGGAGACCAAGGCGGCGAGGTGCCTCTGCTTGCTGGCGATGCTCCTGGTGGCCGGGCTCGGGGCGGCGCGCGGCGCCGGGGAGTGCGGCCGCGTGCCGGCGGACAGGATGGCGCTCAAGCTGGCGCCGTGCGCGGCGGCCACGCAGAACCCCCGGGCCGCGGTGGCGCCCGGCTGCTGCGCGCAGATACGCAGCATCGGGCGCAGCCCCAAGTGCCTGTGCGCCGTCATGCTGTCCAGCACCGCGCGCCAGGCCGGCGTCAAGCCCGCCGTCGCCATGACCATCCCCAAGCGCTGCGCCATCGCCAACCGCCCCATCGGCTACAAATGCGGCCGTAAGTTCATTTGTTCTGATGCTCGGTCGTTTCCTCTGTAGCTACTCTGTCCCTTGGAGCCATCATTGTTTGCCTTGCTCTGCTTTTGCTGTGCAGCATACACCCTGCCATGAGGAGCAGATGTGGTGGAACTGGAAGATCTTTCCAACTCTTGGAACTTCTGGAAGAGCAGATGGCACACACCTGATGCCATCTTTGCCATGTGGAACTTTTACTTGAATCTTTTATGAATAAATAAGAGATCTCAATAAATAATGTGGTTGTAATGCCTCTGTTGGAATATAATATAATGAAGTACCTTTGCAAATCTTATGGTATATTGACAAAAACACTTCCCAAACTTATATGAAGTTCCAACAGTACAGTTTTAATAATAGTACAATGTAAATGATCTCTGCTTCTCCAGCGCTTCTGGTCTGGAGAGAGGATCAGAGGGTACAAGCAGGACAGGTTTGATACTATGTATAGGAGTCAGAGACCAGACTGCCCAGGTTGGGCGGGATGGCCTCAGGACCCTTTATGCAACCTGACACCAAGTTCTAGGTACTTGTAGGTTCATTACATTTCACAGCTAAAGCACAAGCTATGGAATAAGAAGAAGGTAAAGGCACACACACGCACACACAGCATCTGCCCAGGAGTGATGATGCGTCCAAATACTGCCACCACTGATGAGCGAATGTTTTCTCCACTATGTAAGGTATATAACTGCTATCAAGGAAATTAGGTTCAACACCTCTCCCCCTTCAATTTCCTGCCAACAGCGGTGAAACAGAACGGTGAGGAAACGATCAAACCAATGATGCAATGGCGATGATTTAGGTAAATAAAAATCATCACCAGGAGACACAAAACATTCTGCAGCTTAACTAGGTCTGATAGGTTCTGACTATGTTGCCATCACTGGGGCTCTAGGGAACCTTGGTTCAAAATCAGGATTCACAAGTTGCTTAAAATGTCTTTTTTTAGAAATTCAGTACTGTTCTACGATAATACAAAAATATGACTATCCTCAAGAGTGATTTACACTACGGCCTAAGCAGTATCCTCTTTTGGAATAATTCTGTTTCTAAAGACGAAAGTAATGGTATAGCAAGCAATACAACTTGATGGAACATTCGCGCAAGTGGTGAGCATACTTGTGCTGTTGCTTCCTCACCCAAAGTGAACTGGATACAACGCTAGGTCCTCAGACTACATTTAAGGCAACTAATTGTTTGACCCTAAACTCCCTAAAGATAGTGATTAAGACATAAAAAGTAGGGCGTTAACTACGGTTTTTACCCAGGACATTACTTTTCTTCCCGGTGACCTTTGTTATCTTATCTCAACCACAACTACATCATTGTACTGTACACCAACCCCACAGCTAGTTACTTAGAGAAAAATAATTCGCCATTGACGTTAAAGCCTTGACACTGGCAACACAGGTGAATAAACAAAATTTCTTCATCGTATATGATGATATTATAAATAGGAATGGAAGAGAAGAAATATACTCTCTGAAGAGCTGGGAGAAGAATTTGGGTTTGGGCAAATTTCACACGAAAAATTAGGTGAGAGTGAAATATTTCATATCACTAATAACTAAATTCCATCCCATATTAAGCTTTGAGTAATTCAAAGTTTACTACTGTACATATTAACTATTCTGACTTCTGAAACAAAGTATGCGAGAATATGTTCGCTTTCTGATAAAGAACAGCATCTGTGAACACGATAACTGATGCAGAGGCGAAGTGAGCAAAAGTGGATATCAGTTGCTCAGGTGGGCATACACCCCCTATCGCTTTCCAGAAAATTATCGATTGCCTATGTAAGCTGAATAATATATAGCATATCACACGTAAGCAGAGAGCAAGACCAAACCATAATAATGTAACCAATGTCCAATAGTAAGGTCCTTGTTTAGTCGTTTTTACCTTGTTCGTAAAGGGAGAGGACACCAAGCTCTTGCTTAGTAGTAAAACGAGCCTGGAAACAAAATAAATAAATACATCGGTCAACCATATAACTCAGTCATAACATATGTCCGAATATACAACAACACTATACCTTGCCACCAATCGCCATGAGAATCTGCGACAGGATCCTTCTTATCCACCTTGTACTGAAATGAACAAAAAAGTGTTTAAAACCTTGGTTGCCTAAAGTGCTGATTAAAAAAAAGTGAAAGTATTTATGAATTATAAGCATGAGTTATGCTTTTTGTTTAGCAATTTCTTACATCACTGTATTCCGCAGCTTGCTTGGGTGCAGAGCAGCCATAATATTCTCGGCCACCATAGTGCACAGAAGAACCAAAACAAGACGATGTACCAACCGAGTCATACTTGTTATCCTTGGTATATGTTGTGCGGCCCCTAGCAGGACTCCACTGGGATTTACCATCTGTAAGACAAATAAATATGTTAGTTATTTTTCTGTCGTTGCATTTCTCAGTGATTCAAACCAAGCAAGATAGATCACCAAGACGATATTACTTTATGAAAGAAACAACCAATAATGTGTTGACATGACTATCGGCAGAGTTTAGCGCTTAGGGTCGTGGCGTTTGTTCTGATTGAAACTGACCTACTCGTAGGTTTGTCTATAACTTTTTCCTTCAATTATATAATGCATAAAGATGCAAGGCTTTTGCACTTTCTCAAAGATTTTTTTTGTGGGGACAAGAATAAGAAATATAAATTTCTTTTTTTTAGAACAGAAATAGAATTTTCTGGTTGATTGAAGATAGCCAACATGTACACGCTGTACTTAACCTTGTGCAAGTATGAAAATTACAACCAAAGATCAAAGCTCCAAAGTTTCAAAACTTATCGGTCAGTGAAATTTCATCTCTTCTCCTTTAGAAAGTAAAGGTGGGTGGGCTTTGCTGATCAACTGATGCGGGCAAGAGTTATACATGCTTTAAGTGCTTTTGTGATTTTCTTTTGAGGGATTAAATGTTTTTGAGTTTGGAAATTTTCCAACGCTTCCTCGGCACTAAGTAACCTGCTGTTTCTTGAAAGAGAAGACAGTTCATTGATATAGATGTGTGACGTACTATTCCGTTCCATTTCCACAGTACGTAGTACCGGAATGGCAAAAAGGAGAATATGAGACGAGACGAGACGAGAGGAGGGAGTTGTGCAACTACCTGTCATGCTGGCCTGAGCATTGCCGTTCTGCCCCTTGAAAAGAATGGCGTACAAGTCCTGCTCTTTGCCGTTTACCTTGAAAACAAGACAAAAACGGGAAACGTCCAAATTAGATGGCAACATCACAATATGAATCCTTCGCCCGTAACAAAACATCGCAGCATGAATCCCCCAAATTAATAAGGCTTATTACGGCGGGGATACTGTAAGATAATCGGTGTCCACTTGGAGAGACGGGCGTATCTAGATCAAAAGTCTACCAAAATTCTCGCATATTCAGTCCAACAGACGGCGGCTCATATACGAAAACTAAAATCATCGCGCGAACGAGGAAGGATTAAGAACAAGACGAATCCGATCTACTCCGGCGTCTGCTCCGCCGCAATCCCGCGAGAGATCACGTCGGGCGGCAGCGCAGGCGCCGGCCGAGACACAGAGACATAACACCGAACAGGGAGAAGGCGTGAGGAAAGAGACGGGTACCCCGTGCGGCGCCGGGTGGAACAGGCTGCTGAGCGGCGAGTCGGCGACGGCGGCGGCGGCGGCGGCGGCGCGGGGAGGCGACTCCTTAGTCGCCGCGCGCGGCTGCGGCTGGGGCTGGGCCTGGGGCAAGGACCTCTTGGGCTCCATTTCGGGGGACGGACGGACGGGCGGATGGGG